ACTGAATTAAGTGCCACACATTATTATATCTTAAGTTATTACATGTATTTGCATCCTTTCCTGGAGTTTCCAGATAAATCAGTAGATTTCTTTGTCATGTGACATGCATAATTTTATGGTTTAATATCCATTAACTTAAACCCTCACATTGTTTTTATTCTTCAAATGGTTTCAATTAGTATTTATTTCCAAATAAATAATTTTATTTATTTAATAAGTTTTATTTAACAAATATTTATTGATTAGGTACACTTACTAGATATATTGTTTGTGGGATTGGAGCTTTTGTGGCCATGTGAATAGATAGCCCCTGTCCTGGTGCTAATTTACTTTTAAAATATACATTAATCTTATACAATATATTAAGGGAACCATAATCTTTGCAATATTTATTTTTTCTTAGTTCAGTTAGTTTTTAGTGTACTTAATAGTCTCTGGAGCCAGTCACATATGTAGATGTAATTCAGTGGTCTTATTAAACAAGAAACACAGAGCTGATTCAGAGAAGAAAGCCAAGAGGTCAGAGCCAAGAGCCTCACCCTTCCTGATTCAGGGATCCTCCTCAGCCCAGAGAGCTCTCCGAAAGAGAGAGCCCTACTTCCTGTGTGTCTGTCTCTCTAGTCTCCTTGTTCTGGCTTCTCATTGGTTGTAAACCCAATCATGTGACTGCCTCGTCACTGCCTGTATGTACCGCCCTCCAGGTCCTTAAAGGCGTACGCCACCACTGCCACGCACTTGCTATGGCTCTAATAGCTCTGACCCCAGGCAACTTTATTTATACCACCACACACATCCATATTAATAATGATGCTTTTTTACTTTTTATATATTCATAGCAATCATTTTTCTTATTAAGTTACCTTAGGAGTTTCATAAAGATATTATTAGGTGGCCATAATAGCCAGTATTCTGTTGTGTTCTTGACACCAAAGTCTGTGTTTATCAACTGTGGTGCTGATTCCTGATTCTGAAGGAGCTTCTTTCTTAGGTTAACAAGGAGTTAACCTTTAGCTTTGTTGGAACTTTTACCAGATACAGATATTGTTTTTTAAATTAATTTCTCTGTTGTCACTGTGATACTCACAGGTTGTTCAATAGTATATTGGTATTCTGTTAAGTTGACTTCTTAGTATTACCTGCCCTAATATTCTAAAGGTAAAGCTATATAAAACATGCTTTAAACAGGTGGAGGTAATAATGATATTACTTAGTGGATGCCCAAGACATAACAAAGAACTCTTAAACCTCATGTGCTAGCCAAACACTCTACCCTTGAGCTAAGCTCCCTGCTCCACAACTTGTGGCTTTTTTTTGTTGTTGTTGTTGTATAAAGATGCCTTAGGGTAAGTCCATATAATTTAGCTACAAATCTGAGTTTGCCCTTCTGTTTTTGTTGGAACTTCCTCTTATAGTCTGACTGTCTGCTCAACGCAGACTTTCCTTTCTCTAGAAACATCTCACTTTGTCAGGTACAATGGGAGTGGTTTAAGGAGATGCATTCAACTACAGTGACTTTGAGCTCTGGCCTTGAAAATCTTATGTTATAGCCCAGGTATATCCACCAGGAAGTGTGTTCAAACTTCCCCTGGGTGGCTACTCTGAGACCTAAAATAATTCCCATGTGAGTGCAATCCCTTTAGCTATTTTTACTTGATCACTTACCCAGATGACAATTGGCCTTTGGTTGGAAGGAAGTATATGTGGACTGGCCTGGATTTCATATTCCTCCTTTTGCCGCCTCCCAAGATAGGATTATGGTCATGTGTCAAAACTCCTGGCCCCAGATGGTCTTTTGAACTCACACTGTTCAGTTCTATACCTCTCTAAGCAGAAAAAATATATATAGTTGTGGAAAGAAATGGACCAGTCCAATTACCTAAGTATTCTTCAGCCTCTGCACAGTACTCTTAACTCAGGTCATACTTTCAGGGATGATGCTATAGGAGAGAACCTTTTGGAATACCAGAGTTTACCAATGAGGGGAACTGTCCAAACAATGGAAGTGACTGAAGGGACACAGAGAGTAGATACACTGGAATAAGAATAATAAAGAAGATGAGGTCATGAACTTAAGAGGGACCCAGGGTGGGCATGGATGGAGTCTGAAGGGAGGGAGAGAGTTGTAGAAGTGATACATACAGTATTTGTGTATAAAATTCTCAAAAGTAAATGTAAAAAGGGAATTTGAGTTTTATGTCCTTAGTTTAGTGTTCATATTGTCTTAAACATTGGTATTAAGCTTCTTCTATTTTCTAAGGGACTAGTAAATAAATTCTATCTTGTTTTATGCCTGACAAAAATTTTTAAATATTTAACTGGATATTATCTTATTTAAAATAGCTTTACATTATTTTCCATTGGATGCAATTATTTTTGGGTTTACTATTTCATGAGAAAATGAGGGCACTTGTATTTCTAGAAATAGTCTGAGCAAGAGAGGACATTCAGCTTCCATGTACCACTGGTGATTTTTGAGAAGGACTGCACTTTATAGATTAAGCTAGGTATCAATTACCATTGTGTTTTTTTCCACATTAAAAAAATATCAGGTGGATTTGTGAATGGTTCCATTGTAAATATTAGAGAACGTAATAAAAAGATTAGGAAAAATGATAGAAGGAGAGAGGCTAGAAGTGCTAGTTTTCTCACTGAGTGATAATAGCACTATGTGGTAGTGAGGTTTATGCTGTGATCTACAGATGGTCCTGTCATTGGAATTTTTCAGTGAAGAAACAAACTAAATACCTGCTCTTCCAGAGTAATATATCTGGTGTCTTTGTGGGATGACCTGTGTTGTTCAAAAGATGAGTATGTCCTATTAGTTGAGGCAAGATGAAATCTAACTCAGTAATAGCAATATGTAAAATAGGCATTCCATTCAGGGTAATACAAGTTATAATTATTGTATTAAGATGCAATGAAATAAGTAAGCAAATTGGTCCATTATGATAAAGATGGTAGATTTTAGGTAATTGTGATGGAGATCCAACATCTGCAGGGAGCTTAGTTCTAACTAGTCTACAGAAGAAAAACATGTAAGCTTATAATTTGTAACTTGAAAATTTGTGTTAAAGCTAAGTTTTTTAAATATTTATTTTTACTCACAATGGTCTTTTAAATCTTCATAAACAAGACTTATTTCTTAGAAATAACTATATATATATATTTTATGCAATATGATATTTAATATAGTCTTTAACTTGTCCCTTGATTTCTCTCACCTTACAAAACAACCAAGATCATAATAGCCAAATATAAAAACAACACATTGCTACCATGCAGGCATAGACAACCTGATGTATTCATAAGAAGGCATGTAAGATAGCATTTAGAGCAAATGCAGTAGCTATATGATACATATAAAGATAAATGTAAAAAAATGCTTTTAGGTAAAAAAACATTATGAGGACATTTATATGACATTTAAAAAATTACATCGAGGCCATACCACCCTGAATGTGCCTGCTTAGTCTTTAATTTAATTCTCCATCTAAATATGCTAAAGATGCTTAGCTTGTAATCAAGAATGAAGCATGTGTAAGATGATGTACACTAAAAAGTATTTTGTATACTTACTTTCTAAAAATCAAGTTTTATTCACTAGATATTACAAACTATTATCATGTTATAACTAGGAAGGAGGTTAAATTTTTTCTTTTTCATACTTGCGTTTTGATTTGCCATAATTCATATCCATTTAAAATGTTGTCATGTGAAAGGAAAATATTATATTTCATGTTTGTGATTATTTTGGAAACTTTCTTAAAAGTTTGAATCTTCTCTTTTATTCAGAGCTTTGATTTATACTGTTCTGAAATGAAGAACTGTATATAAAGTACAGAATGAGCAACTATACAAATGATCAATGACAGTTATAGTAGATTGTAATTTCCTGTGGGGAGGAAGGTAATGTAGAAACCATGGTTATCTTTTGGGAATGGTGGGACAGGTAGTATTGGCACTTGAGATTTGGGAAGACCATTGTAGAGAACAATAAAAAGCAAATGAAGGGGAAGAGCTAGGGATGCAGAGCAGTACTGGGGTAGGTCAGTCAGAGATAACCAGTTAAGATCACATCTGTCTTAATCTTGTGGGATTTAGCCCTAAATCTCTATTTTACTAAGTCATTGTAAGACAAAAGTTGGGAGATAATGTCTTTTCCTAATTTGAAGGCAGTTTAGCAAGATGGATGAGATTTAGAGTTCCTAGGCTCAAACCTGTCCATGGACATTTAGAAGAGATGGTTAACTGGATGAACAGCTTGGCTGGTAGTCAGTTGAGGACTACTGAAAAGTTGATGAGTTTGTTGGAAACTGGTCCAAGGAAGTGTGTTCTAGTGTACACCTTTCTGCAGCCACTATTGCTGTGGGATGGTCTGTATGTCAAATGTGTTGCTGATTGGTCAATGAATAAATCACTGATTGGTCAGTGGCCAGGCAGGAAGTATAGGCGGGACTAACAGAGAGGAGAATTGAGAGAATAGGAAGCTGAGTGGGAGAGACACTGCCAGCCGCCATCAGGACAAGGAAGATGTAAAGTACCGGTAAGCCACAAGCCATGTGGCAAGGTATAGATTAATAGAAATGGATTAATTTAAGCTGTAAGAACAGTTAACAAGAAGCCTGCCACGGCCATACAGTTTGTAACCAATATAAGTCTCTGTGTTTACTTGATCGGGTTTGAGCGGCTTGGGACTGGTGGGTGAGAGAGATTTGTCCTGACTGTGGGCCAGGCAGGAAAACTCTAGCAACACACTATACATTCAGATTTTAGTGAGCACCTCACAAAACTTGTTTCAAAGTAACTTTGCTGTAAACTAATAATCAAATCTTATTCAGAGTATATACAAATTAAAGACAGCATCAGCAGTTTCATAGATGGTTTGACCCTCTCTATAAAGCCATTTCAAATCCTCTGTAAAGATAAAATATCTCACAATTAGATTGTAAGGGTATTTTAAGACAAGGAAATGAAATTTAATCTCTTTTCTCCTTCTGCAGGAAGTCACCAAGGCCGTCCAGCCCCTCTTGCTAGGAAGAATCATAGCTTCCTATGATCCGGATAACCAGATGGAGCGCTCCATTGCCATTTACTTAGGCATAGGCTTATGTCTTCTCTTCATTGTCAGGACGCTGCTTCTTCACCCAGCCATTTTTGGACTTCATCGCATTGGCATGCAAATGAGAATAGCAATGTTTAGCTTGATTTATAAGAAGGTAATCATTTGGGGGGTGTTTTGATTGGCTTTGTTTTGTTACTTCAGTGCTGGGGATTGAACTCAGGGCTACCTGTGCCAGCAAGTTCTTTGCTGAGTTTGCCACCCTGTACAGCCCCAGGTATTCTACATGGCATATCTTCAATACCCTGAATTAGATTGTGAGCTCTAAAAAGGATAAGTATGAAAATTGATTTCAATTTCATGTGTCTGTGAAATAAATGACAGGAATAAGTATTGTTTTTTTATTCTTAGTAATTCAGTTTGCTTCAATAGACTGTTATTAAGTAAGTACCTTCTATAACAATGTTGCAGATACCTGTTTTTTAGGGGAAGGATTTGAGTGGTTTTGTTTTGGGTTTTTTTGTTGTTGTTGTTGTTGTTGTTTCTTGAATTACTGAAAATTGAACCCAGGGCTTCACACAAAATAGACAAGTGCTATAGCAGTGGGATAAATCACCATCAATTTTTTCAATCCACTTTTTTTCAGTTAAAATGACAAATAGTTAGTATGAAAGTCATTGATGAAATATCATCTTATGTTAAAATGCTATCTATCTTTATATTTACTAACAATAATTTTTTTTTTTTTTTTTGGTTTTTCGAGACAGGGTTTCTCTGTGTAGCTTTGTGCCTTTCCTGGGACTCACTTGGTAGCCCAGGCTGGCCTCGAACTCACAGAGATCCGCCTGGCTCTGCCTCCCGAGTGCTGGGATTAAAGGCGTGCGCCACCACCACCCAGCTACTAACAATATTTTAATATGTCATCATTAGTGATAATCTAAGCAATACACTTCCACCTTACCCAGCTGCCACAGATGGTGACGGTGTCACAGTGGTAATACTTGTCCACTGTCTTACTGTGAGTAAGACCTTTGTGGACCTTTGTCATCCAGTGAGTCCTGTAACTATAAAGTTTTTGAAATAGCACATGCATTGAAGTCATAAGAACTTATTTTGCTTTTCTGCATATGTTAGATAGACAAGAGCCTAAATTATCTAGGAATGATTTAAATTGATTCAAGTGAACATTTAGCTTTCTAAATGTTGTCTAAAATTCTGACAAAATTCATAGTCATTTCAATAGCATGTGCTTTCTTCAGTCTATGTATGTGACTGCTTTACTCTACCAAGTGATCAAAGAAAGATATATTGGTGGAACCATTTATACGTTCCCTTATTCTTTGCTGTTTTATTCCTTCAATGACAAACTTTATATACTTGGCTTATAAGGACTATGGATCTGAAATTGAGCCCTAACAAGTAATCCATAGCACCACTATGGTACACACTCAAGGCCAACTGTGTAATAAAATCTTGATAGTCATACTTTATTGTTCAAAAAAGGCTTTTATGGAGGCAGAGGAGAATAAAAAGGAGTCAGAAGTTTAACTGAATCTCTAAGGCTCCAGTCTCATCAATTCATATGTCCCAGGAAAACATGATGATAAATCAACAAACCTGTTTAGAGAACATTTGTAATGTAGAATCCACTGGGCTTGCTGTCAAAGAAAGTTGAATTTACTTTAATAAATATGTCAGGAAGTACATATTATAATGATAATAACACACACATATGTGTGTGTTAGTGTGTGTGTGACACTAATAAATGATGTAAATGTGATCTAATTTGATCTAACAACAACTCTCTACTGTAGGTACTATTATCTCTCTTTTAAGGAAACTAAAACCTATAAAAGAAGTACATTATATAAAACTACTTTCAAAATAGATAAATCACAATCTTTGAAGTAAAATGGTTTCTAGGCATTAGGAAAAACAAAAGTATGGAAATACAGTACTGAGGCAAAGGGGATATGAAGTAAAATAAAAATAAAGAGTGTGGTTAGTTTGTGATCAAGTCCTCATATTATATTTAACACAAATTCAGTAATGTATTTCTTTTAGACACACTGATGAAGAGTTTGAAGCTCTTCCATATGTATTTCCATCTCAACCTCAACTACCTATGAAGGTTGATCATTTAGTTTATCTTGCAAACCACACTTACATTCCTATGTTGGCTTATCACTAGAGTGTGAGTGCATCTTCATGTTGCTCTAGTTTGGTCCCTAATGGCACTTTGTCTTTGTTCTTCCCATGTCTTATATCCTTGTCCATATCCATCCTGTTTTAGGCCTTTAGCAAGGACATACAGGATCCTTCCTACAACATTTCAAATTTTATAATACAGAAAGTCCCTCCCTTTAAAATTCTGAAAGCATACACATTATACCGAAATAATGAATACAAACACAAACTGAACTTTGCCTATGAATTTGAAGATTACAAAAATAACTGAATACTTACCACATGTATATTATGCATGCAGCTTCATGTTTTACTTTGTATATAACTTTTCCTGAACTGAAACTTTTTCTAAGATGCATGTCATCTACCTCAGTGAGTTCTCCCCCGCTCCTGTTGCTCTAGTAATATATATATATATATTTTTTCGAGACAGGGTTTCTCTGTGTAGCTTTGCGCCTTTCCTGGAACTCACTTGGTAGTCCAGGCTGGCCTCGAACTCACAGAGATCCGCCTGGCTCTGCCTCCCGAGTGCTGGGATTAAAGGCGTGCGCCACCACTGCCCGGCGCTCTAGTAATATTTTATAATTAACTATCCTGACTTTTTATGTTTGTCTGTCTAAAAATTATCCATTATTTTAGTTCTGTGTCTATAAAACTTTCATATTTTTCTAATTCAAAATATGAACCCACTCTTTCTGCTTTCCTTAACTAAGTTAAGCTTAAGTTAAAGTTATAATCTATAATATATATATATATATATATATATATATATACATATATACACATTTTCTAAGTTACTCCCAGGCAAGAATTATATCTTAATAAATACTAATTCCTGATGCATACAGGATAATGGTTTGCATCTATTAAATACTCAACAAATATGTGAAGAGGTTGAAACAAATAATAAATGAGTGTTTTGTTGCCAAAACCATCTAACCGTAAATAAACTATTAAATTTCACAAAGAATTATTCTCTTTCATGATCATAATTTATGTAATAATGTTAAATCATTAATTTATAGGTCAGTGAGTAAATGTTTCTAGTTAGTGATCTTTTATGTTCTTTTTCTTTGTAAAATTTGAAGACTTTTTTTGTTAACATAAAAATATTGATTCATTTATTCATAACATACTTTTATTGACTTTGACAGTACTTTTAGTCAACAGAGTTGGTGAAGGAGTTTATGAAAAATTTAAGACCAGGTTTCACTACCTTAGGTTCCATCTTTTATTTCTAAATTTATAATTTTTTTTATTATTTTCATATACATATATAATTAATTTCAGTCATCTTTATCTTCATTTGCTCTATCATTCCTGGCCCTCTCCCATTGGAACTCATCTTAGCAAGTACCTTCCTACTTCCATGTCTTTTCGTGTGTGGTACACTGAGTTTAATAAGAGCATAGTGGGAGATGATTTAGTGGAGCAAGGGCAGCTTGTATGTGTTACACCAATGACAAAGTAATATGATAGCCCCTGCCTAACAAGCATGAGCCTTCCCCCATCCATCCTGAAATGTTTCATCCTGTGCAGATAACCTCAGCTGTAAAGAGTTCATGAGTGCAACTGTTAGGTCCTGTGAGAAACTTCTTTCTACTGTCTGTCTTTCCTAAGCTCAGCTCTTATATTCTTTATGTCCCCTCTTCTGCCATTTTCTCTGAGTCATGGGGCAGGGTAGAGAGTGATATAGCTATCTCATTTATGAACAAACATTCCACCATCATCTATTTACCGCATTTTGGTCAGTCTTAGGTTTCTGCAGTCACCAGCACCCACTGTCATAAGAAACTTTTCTGATAATGGCTGAGTGCAAGCTCTAATCTATGGTGTAAACATGAGTAGTAAGAAAGTAGCTTGATAACATGACCATTTAGCAGAACAACAGTTAGTTGGTTATCCCCTGTGGCCCTCTGGCCTCCCTAGCCAGAGAGACTCTTAACCAGAGTTACAGAACCAAACAGAAGTTCCCTATTGTGGAGAAGGCTTCAGATTCCATCAGAAAGCAGCGAGTTACCCCCATAAGAATCATACTACTATGCACTGGAGGACACATTTTACAAAGACACGTGGTTATTGTAGCTTACAAGAGTCACAGTTTGCAGACACCTCAGTGTCTACTCAGTGGGGAGGAAAGAAGCTTGCAGTTCAGCTCCACGTCCTGTGACTGTAGTACACAGTATTTTCAGCAGCAGCATCTTACCATCAAGTTCTGGAGGGCAGCCAAGAGCATGGCAAAAGCTTGTGTTGTTTGAGGAACCTCTGAGATCTTCCTGGTCAGTCACTCCTAGGAGGATATTCCATACCCAGCACTGGAACTTTAGTTATTCGTGGTTTTTGAGAGGAACATCAGCCTTGGAGGATATCTCTATTTAAACTTTTATAAGATTTTATTTTTAAGTTTAAAACTTTATTCTTAGCTGGGCAGTGGTGGCACATGCCTTTAATCACAGCACTCAGGAGGCAGAGATAGTTGGATCTGAGTTTGAGGCCAGCCTGGTCTACAGAGCAGGTTCTAGGACAGCCAGGGCTATACAGAGAAACCATGTCTCAAAACACCAAAAACAAAACAAAAAAAACCTCTATTCTTAGACTTGTACAGTAGTGATACTCAAACTGTAAATTTTAAACTCAAATATATATAATTTTTATACATGTCCAGCTATTAACTGATTTCTCAAGGTATGGTATATATTATAGGCAAGACAAGCAATAATAATAATGTTTGCAAATCTCTATATTAAATTATCCAGATAATTGCAGTTTGGGGACACACTTCATTATCACATGGCATGGTATGTGTTTCCTAGTGTTATGTTGGACAGAGACAGATTATGAGTAAATGAGTCTCTACCAATGTACTTTTGTATGCTTATTAGATAGTATTATTGCAAATAGTATCCTCACTTCACAGTCCTATATGGACCTCCATTCTACTAAAGCTAGTTTAGTTAAAAGTGGGTAATGACACTTCTGAAGCCATTCAACACAGGGAATGCCTCTGCCACCCAAAGCAGAAGGAAGGCAGCTGTCTACCCCACTGCTTTGTAAACTCTCACACCTCACTTAGGACACTACCCACCCCCAACCTGTGCTATGAACCTGGCTATCTGACATGCTAGCATTAATACAGGCTAAGATTGTATTTTTAAAGGAAACTTATAAAATTGTAGTTTCCACCTGGCTTTTTCATTTACCCTTACTTTTGGTTACCTTCTCTTCTCTCCCTGCTCTCTCCTCTCTTCCCCCACTCCCCACGGAGATGTCTCTGCCCTTGTTATCCCTCCGCCCTGTCCCCCATTTCATGTCTGGTATGTAAGACTGCCCTCCCTCCCTCTCTCTAATGCCTCTCTCTCATCCTTCTGATTTTTACCAACACATTGTTGTGCTTAATATTCTACACATACACAGCTGAGATCCTCACGAAAGGAAGAACTGGTAGCATTTGTCCTTCGGGACCTGGACTTACCTGACTCAGTATAATATTTGTTTCTGTTTGTAAAAACAAAGTTAAAAAAAAATCCTCAAAGCTCAAACAAGAGGACTCAAAAAAAAAAAAAAAAACCCAAACAAACAAACCTCAAGCTTACATTTTACAAATGGATATTAAAATACAATATTATTTGTATTATTGAAGACAAAAAAGTTAGTCTCTATATGACAGAAACCATAAAAAACAAATAGTTCAATGTAGTAGTTACTTTTAAGTTGAATATTCATAAAGCTGAGAAGGTACAAAACTAATGAATGTGAAACAAGGCTGATCCACCACTTAAGGGGTATGCAGTCACATCTTCCTCTTTACTAATGTGTTACTTATAAATACATTTTATTTTTGTTTGTTGATATCACCTAACTTCCCATTTTTCTTTTAGACTTTAAAGCTGTCAAGCCGTGTTCTTGATAAAATAAGTATTGGACAACTTGTTAGTCTTCTTTCCAACAACCTGAACAAATTTGATGAAGTATGTACCCACTGATCAAATACTTTATACATTTTATCAGAAATCAAACAACCCTAAAGGAAGATTTATCCTGCACCAGATACCAGTGATAAGTAGTAAAGTTCCACCCATCCCTAGTCTGGCTATTTCTGGAAACTGGGAAGGCTAAATTGTGTAGAAGAGCACCATTCTGAGGTCAGGTCAGCTTGCCAAACTCAAACATACCTCAGCTTGCTCTTAATAAGGTTTTTCAAAGCTTAATCCTTATCAGACTTTGCTTCCTTTTAATATAATACTTTAAATTGTTATTTACTTTGGCTAAATATGATACTCTGGGCAGTTCTTATTCTGTGCTGTCTTATGTCATAAGTAAATTCAAGGTCCTTGAGGACAGATAAGTGTGTTTTATTTATCTTTGCATTTCCAGTATTTAACATAACAAGAGTTAAATAAATTACTGTCAAATGGAGAGCCAGATGCTGAACTGTACAGGGTGTGTGTGTGTGTGTGTGTGTGTCTGTGTGTGTGTGTGTGTGTGTGTGTGTGTGTGTACTGAGCCTCTGAGGAGAGCCCCTTATTCTCACTTGTTCTAATATGAGGACGCTAGCTTTATTTAAAAAGAATATTAATTAAAATCTGGAAACAATTCCTAAGATATCCAATCCCAGTCTACTGGGAGGAAAAACATACTTTGAAATGCAATGACTTGAAATTTTTACCTTGAAGAACCTGGTTTATGCATTGATTAAGCCCAGTACTATCCTTCCATATCAAGAACATCTACATTTCAGTGTGCTCAGAACCATGAATCCCTTGATTGGATAAATCCTCAGTGCTCCCCCACCCCAATATGTGTTTCTTTGCTTGGTTTCTGAGGGTGGAGTATAACATGCCACTTGCTTCTCTCTGTGTTTTTGTTTTTCAGGGACTTGCCTTGGCACATTTTGTATGGATAGCTCCTTTACAAGTGGCTCTCCTGATGGGACTTCTCTGGGACTTGTTACAATTCTCTGCTTTCTGTGGCCTTGGTTTACTGATAATCCTGGTCTTTCTTCAAGCTATTTTAGGGAAGATGATGGTGAAGTACAGGTAGTGATCTTTGTCACAGCTTAAAGGAATTTAACTTGGGCTTCTCTATGCTCTAACAAGAAAACTATGCTATATCACTAAAAGGGATTATTTTAATGGTGTAAATAATACATCATATACCAAAAAGGGTATTTTTCCTATATTAGTCTACAAAATTTCTTTACAAATGTTTTAAGGTTTAGTACATTTTTATACTTATAAAATTAGGTAAAGTAGTTATAGTATTTATATGAACTGGAAGGAATGCCTAAATTTTGTATGGAACTTACTGGCTTTTTCCACTCCATATTGTAGGTCATTCTACCAAAGCTGTTACTACTTACTTTTATTACAGAATGAATCTGTGGTATGAGTCATGTGACATGCTTATGATAAAGAACATGTAGAATTTGCCAGCTGAAATGTCAATAGAAAGCTACAATCTGGGGACTCAGGTTTTTTTTTTTTTTTTAAAAGCTTTTATATACTTTTTCATTTGCTTCACAAAATGGAAATAATCACCTCTTTGATAAGGATTGGATTAAGGACAAAGTTCAAAATTCATCTAACGGTGGGTGTCTGACATTCCGGAGGCATCTACTAAATGATAGAATTACTTTGGTTGCCATCTGTTTAAGAGCAAAATGTTTATCTATGTAATAAAAAGTATTAATTTCCTTAAAATTTTCAGTAGTTATTAGTAGATAATTTGACTTGTTTTTGTTATTGATTGGTTGATCAAGTGATTGGTTTTCAGAGATCAAAGAGCTGCAAAGATCAATGAAAGACTTGTGATCACATCAGAAATTATTGATAATATCCATTCTGTTAAGGCATATTGTTGGGAATCAGCGATGGAAAAGATAATCAAAAACCTGAGAGAGTAAGTTGATATTATTACACTGTTGTTCCAATTTTATACTTAACATTTAAAAATGATACTCCAGTAGAAATCAAGCATATGTCCTGAGGTATATCATTGTTTATACATCATTTGCATAAAATCATTTTGATGAGTTAATGTTTTTTGAGACAGGGTCTCACTATATAGGCTTGCCTAGCCTGGAACTCAGTGTGTAGACCAGGCTGACTTAGAACTCAAAGGCATGTGCCGCCATGCCCAGTGCCAGCTTATGATGGTTTTATCCAGTGGTTCCTTGGAACTGCAAAATGATGTATCCCTTCTTAATGAGTCTTCTACAGTTGTTCATAGTTATTTGATACCCTTAATTTAATGAGAACAATGATGAAGATGCTGGAGGCTAGTTGAAATCAGAAATGGAGCTGCTAAAATATATAGTTCTGAGAGAAAAGGGAGATACTGTATGACACTGTACTTCACGTTATGACTTACAAAAAGCGGGAGGGGAAGCCACAGTTGGACAAATTGTACCTGTTGTTCTGAACCTTAGGAATAATGACAAAGGAATTTTCCTCAGTGTTGCCCATGTAAATTGCTCACAGGAGGTGAAATCAGTCCTTGTAGCAAAAGCCACCGCCTGAGCCACAGCCAGTCCTTGGCGCCTGTGCGTGTTGTCTTCTTTCACCTGGGGTGACCTTTCACAGATTAGTAAAGATTACATCTGGCAAGAAAAAAGTACAGCGCAGACTGACATGTAGTCACTGAGATGATTTTGGGTAAAAGAAAATTGAGCATTGCTCTAGCCATGCAAACTGTCTTTTTCTTTAGTTAACTTCTCTGTTCTGCAGACTACAGTCAAGGAAGGGTTTTAGACTTCTGGCGGCAGGTGCATCATTAAAGAGACTACTAATTTAAAGAGTAGGACGCTTGATGTATTGCATAGGAAAAAGTGCTCTTTGCGATGGTGTGAAGTCTGGGCGATTTCACAGTCAGGCTGCTGGAGGCCCATAGACAATGGTAAAGGAGCCACAGGTGTGTGATTGGGACAACAAAGGAAAGGCTGCAGCCTTAAGTCCTTTGCCATGTAAACAGAAGGAGCAAAAGAGTATTTATTTCCCAAACATTCTTGGTCACCTGTTTTTGTTATGCCTTTCAAGATAAATCCAGGAAAGGCATTGCATTTTCTTTCCAGAGACATCCTGAAAGGACTTGGGGAGTTGTTTTTCACATTAACAAGCTGAGTGCTCCACTGAACTCTCCTGTAAACACAAATATGGCAGGGGTTGTGAGGTTGTCAGAGGAGACAGGTCTTTCCTGTGGCTGACTTTTTTTTTTTTTTTGGTTTTTTTGAGACAGGGTTTCTCTGTGTAGCTTTGCGCCTTTCCTGGGACTCACTTCGTAGTCCAGGCTGGCCTCGAACTCACAGAGATCCGCCTGGCTCTGCCTCCCGAGTGCTGGGATTAAAGGCGTGCGCCACCACCGCCCGGCCTGACTTTTTCTGGCTGGTATTTTACCCCTCTCTTTCTCAAAAGGTGAAATCCATCTTTCCTAGTCTGTATTTCGGTTTGGGCAGTTCTGATAGCATTTGTCTGGTTGTAACCTGTCTGATACACTATGAAATTGTTACCTGAAGAAGCTGGAAAGTGCTGACATAAAAGGGAAAGGAGGAACTGCTTTTACTCAGCAGAGCAAATACAATGTTCTAGGAGAGACTGACAGGATGCTCTTCAGAAGGATGATTACCTCGGCCTGAGCCACTGTTGAACTGGGCCAAAGGCTGTGCAAATTTCCTTGGGGGGAAAATCTGCCTTTTATTGCTCTTGTAATAAAGGGACTTTAATTTTTTTATGAGAAACAGAAAATTTTTATGACTCATAAAATGTTAGGATCTTCTAATAGTTTCTAGGTGATTCTGATGATGTTGCATCCATTATTCTTTTTCCTATGTGATCTTTCCTTCCAACTTCGCCAGCTGTTTCTAATATATTTGAACAACTTTGACACTTTGCTAACATTTTTAAAACAATTCTACTATTTCATAAATGCCAACCTCATCAATATATATTTTTTAATCTCTAAAAGAGCTACACATTGCGTTTTATTAGATTTTCTGCTATGTCTGCTGTGTCATCGTGTAAGCTTAACCACACCTCTATAAGGGTAGTACTGTGTTTCTCTTTAGTGATGGAATCATGAGGGAAGAGTGCCTTCCTTTAGATGACCTAGGTAAAACAGGCAGAACCCAAACCACAGTCCACCTGCAATACAAATTTACTGAGAGATAAAACACTGCAACTAATTAGGCTGATCATAATATAGTTTATACACATGACCTCTGTCAGTGAGCTCAGGATTGTTTTCTTTGAGGACTTAAAAAAGATTTCCTTTTAGTTCTACCACTTGAGAATGACAGTTGTTTCTTTGAATTAGAGAGATGTGGAAATGCAGTGTCTGCATGCCAGGTGCCCTCCTGCACCAGACTATAGATAAGCTATTGCTCTTTTTGGACAGAGCCTTCATTTTGTGTTTAGCATTGGGCTTTGGCTGCACAGGAACTAGTTGTGGATGATCACAAGTGACTTGAAGCTTTATGGCAGGAAGAGTGGCTGAGGGTGAGGGCAATGTTGTTTTCAGCTTGTGACATCTCAATCATGTCACCATCTTCTGGGCTCCTTGCTTTCTGCCTGTTACAGCATTTAACCCCTTCCTGTATGTCTTACAAAAATACTAGTTTACCGTTGGATTTCAGACTAGAGGATTGCACCTGTGGTAAGGCGTGACTGCAGCTGAATCACACTGAAATGAGAGGGAAGAGGAGGGACGTGGCTAGTCCCTGGTCTTGAAGAACCGCCTACAATAGAATGACCTGGCTTCTTTGACTAGAGTAGCTTCTGGTAAACCAGTGCAGCATCTCAGCATCAGCAGATACGGCTTGGAGACGAGAGTGCCCAATAACATGTTCTTAGGTGCTTTGTATCCATGTCAGCATCTGAGAACCTCTCCTCATGCCATTGTCAGAGTTATTTAAAATCAAGCTGGAATCTTGAAAATGTTAAGAATCTGTTGGAGAACCACAAAATCATTGTTTTGTTCATAAAGCTTGTAGCATTGTAACATTCCACACACTATTTCACATTTTAATAATGAAGTTACTAAAGATATAAAAATAGGATAAAGTTGAAATCTACTGAGTACAATTTAAATTAATTTTAATAATATATTTAAAAATTTAATTATGATAGTAATTGAAGTTCTTAATTGTTTTACAGCAGTGTTAACAAGTATTCAGTAAAAAAAGATGATATATTCGTTAATAGTCATATAAGCTAATTGAGGTCAAGAGAGGTTTTATAACTTGCCCAAACTGTAGTGTGTATGTTCAGATTTTCTAGTCTATGACGCCTGATGTTTAAAAAGGAAATAACCTCTCCCATCTTCCATTTTTCACAGGGTGGAACTGAAACTGACCCGGAAGGCAGCCTATATGAGGTTCTTGACTAGCTCTGCCTTCTTCTTCTCAGGGTTCTTTGTAGTCTTTTTATCTGTGCTTCCCTATACAGTCATCAACGGAATCATCCTCCGAAAAATATTCACAACCATTTCATTCTGCATCGTCCTGCGGATGTCAGTCACACGACAGTTCCCCACTGCTGTGCAGACCTGGTATGATTCTGTTGGAATGATAAGAAAAGTACAGGTAATTTCCATGATACATCCTTATACGATTTTGAAACATTTTAGAATTTGTTGAGTGGGAGAACACTCTAAAATGAATTTCTTCGTTTTGGATTTATTAATGGATAAGATGTCCTCTCTTCATTTTCATACATGGTCTCATGAATCCTTACAATGAAAGTCTTATGAAATCCTATGAGATTTTGTAAATCAAAGAAATTTGCAATAATTGTTTCTGTAATTTCAAAAATCCCACCCAAGTAACCAGTGAATAGATCAGTTCTAGGGAGCTTGTAAATATCCAAAAACATTGAAAAATAAACTTCATCAGGAAGTTATAAAATGTTTATGCTAACCCTGGAATGCCCACCTTAAACTCTCTAGCATTTTCCTGGATAGTATGATGGCTTTAAATGGCATTTTGTACCACCTGAATTACTGTACAACTCCAAGATAAGATAGCTGCTAGTGACGAAAAGTCCTACAGTTTTGAGGTGATAAGAAGTAGTTTCTTCAGAGCAAACTGAGTAAGTTTGTGAGAAAAATGTCTCATTATACTTTAAAATATATAAGTATTTAACACAGAAAGTAATCATTATGGCAAATAAAATGTAGGATGGTGGGTGAGCTGGTTAGAAAGCGGTCCTCCCATTATTTACCTAGGTCTGATGTTGCAAGTGGTGGCAACATGTAATTTTAGCTTCTATATCTGTTCTGTTTGCCTTTGAAAATTTGAATTAGTTGCTAGTGATTAGAAGTAGAGAGAGACCATGTGTACCCTTATGCACGGTGTGCATGTATATACACATACATGTGTTGAATGTCTTCTGACGAATTGAGATTGTCCAGTAATTTGTGTCTCCATGGCTGTAGCAGCTGCCATTGAAGGGTGTCTGCCCAGTCCAGCTCATCACAATCTCAGTCCCTTCTTTTCACCCGTTGCACCCCAAGATTAGATGAACCTGAGTGTGTGACTAGATAAAGTAGTGAGTGATACTTAGGATCATAATAGCTCTGTGATTAATCTTATTTCTCTGCTGATGTCATCATAGGTGGGTGAAAGGATGAGAAGAAAGAGGGAGAGGAGGGCAGAGAGATAAGAAGAGACGTGAGAATAAAACTGAACAGTAACACAAAAAACATCGAAAAGAGGAAAAAAGGGTGGGAAGGAGGAAAGAGAGAAAAGAGGCCAGGCAGGGACCAGTGAAGATGCACAGATTTAAGTCCTATGCTCCACTTTCCCTATGAAGAATGTGTTGGAGTCACTGATGGAGCCCTTTCTTAGAACACTTCAAAGTAGTTATATGAAATCCTTATACTTTTCCTTCATCCAGAGAAGTGATGATAGTATATTGCTTGTAAAGAGATTGTTAAAAAAAAAAAAGCACAATTTGTGGTTCTTTTCCTTTGTACTAGCCTTGAACTGAGACATGAGTGAGTAATTGTTAGGGTTCCATTAGAAATTAATATTTCATATAATAATATAAGAAAGAAGCAACTGTGCACTAATATCTAATATATAAAACTAGTCTCATAAATTAATATATCTAAAGAGTATATTTCTACTATGATGAATCCTACTGTTTGATACATTAACTTTAGGACAATTGTAAAGTTATTTTATTAACTAATTTCTAATTTAAGACAGTGCAGTGTTAGAGTGTACGAAGATAAAACAATGCATTCTTGTTATTCCAATTCTATGATTAAAAGCTTTTACACTCTTCATTGACTAGGATTTCCTGCAGTATCAAGAATATAAGATACTGGAGTATAACTTAATGACCACAGGTGTGATCATGGAAAATGTAACAGCATTCTGGGAGGAGGTGAGAATTTCTAAACGTTGTTGATTTTTTAAATATATAAACAATTGAACTTTTTGTTTTTCATGCATCTAAATTTCTACTCAATAAAATGTAAGATTCAAATGATACTATAACTGATAGAGCTATAAGGAGGGGTTTTTCTGTTTTATAAAAGTGAAAAGTGAGGAACCAGGATCATAAATGCAACATGAAAGCCCCTTTATTTCTTTAAAGTCATTTAACTGATTTCATATAGCAGGCCAGGAAGATGATAGGCTTCAATACTAGGTTTGAATCTTGTCTCTGTAATTCACTTTCCATATAGTCCAAGTCATATTACTCTCAAGTTGTCAAGCCCCTAGTGTCTTCATCCTACTAAAATGATTTACATGGATTGCCCATTAGTGCACTTTTCATGTAGCGGTTCCTCAGTGAAGATTAACTTCTCTGATCATGACTTTCAAGTCTTCCCTGCCCTGTCACTCAGTGTTTATGAGCCATTGAGTCCCCATGAGCAGCTGCCAGCATTTGACTCTCTGTGGTGTGGGTGAGCTCCCTCAGGTTCAACATCAGTGACCTGATGATGTGCAAATGCAAATCTCTGGTCCTTGTTTCAATCCTGAATTTCATGCATGCTGTTCCAAATATCTTACATGCTCCTCATACACTTCATATTAATCATTCCCCAAGCTTTACTGTTCCACTTGTTCCAGCATATTCTCCATCTCTTTGGATGACAACACCTGAGAGGCAAGTCTAGGGTGAGTTAGTTACATATCATACTTTGATTAGATAAAATTTATATTTACATATTAGGCAGTTGAGACTTGAGACCTCAACTTTAAGTAAGGAAGTTACTCAAATAGCTAGGGCAGAGCTAAAATATCAGTCTTGGTTCTCAGACCCCAGAGCCATTTCCAAGTCCCCACACTGCATATTGCTACTTATTTAAGGATACAAGTAAAGGGGTAGAGGTGTAACTCAGTGGCTGAGTACTTGCTTAGCATGGACAGTGGGCTGGATTCAATTCCCAGTGCTGAAAAAAGAAAAGATCAAAAGTAGAAGGAGGAAGAGGAGGAGGAGGAACAAACTGTTGTTTTATTGTCTACAAAAGTATTTCCCATGTGTTACCCATTCGTGCCTTCAACACCTCTCATACAAGGCTGGAGGAATTTTACATATTATTTGGTCCACTTACAGGAGTTTATCTTAAATAACAGGAGCAAAAACAATGACCCTCTGCATTTCTTTCACAGTGTTATTGATTAAGCTAAAAGCTGAATCATCTAGTAGAAAACTTTTTAGAGTTTATACATTATAATATTGTCGTTCAATTAAACTTCAGAGTGCTCAATGAATGTGAAAATAATTGGAAGTAGATATCAAGAAAAAGCAGACCACACATTTTACATTGTTTGTGAAGGTTGGCTTTCATCTTGTGAATTAGACTTTAAATCCAATCAGAAAGTGGTTAGTTACTACCATGATACTTGTGCTATTATTGCACCAACAGGCATGTCAGTAAGACTGATGATTACTTTTCTCCTGTGGTAGTATACATAACACCTTGCAACACTATGAAAACTATTCAGTAGTGATGAAGCATCTGGGTGAATACCAGCTTAATTTCTCTAAGTTATATTAAATGTGTGGATTCTTCAGAAATAGAATCTGACTATAAAGTTCTGGAGGGCTAGAGGGAGACAGGAGGACGGATAGAAAGACACACAGGAAGTAGAAGGCGGGGCACTGAGTTTGTGAGTCTTGTTTGAGACAGTAGGAAAAAAGGGGGCTTTGGTGACATCAGCAGAGGAGAAAGGTCAGCTGGGTGCTTTCTCTGCCCCTCTGAGCTTGCAGCCTGTCACCCCAGCATATGGCGCCAGGGTCTTTATTGGTAAAATTGAATGATTGAGATTTTGCTAAAAACAACACCTGACACTGTTTTTTATTTTTTTAATTTGTTACCCTGTGGTGTCTACTTGGGGCATTATAGCTAATTTTTTTTAACTTTCTTTCTCTTTAAAAATATAGTACTTTTTATTAATTTTGAGAATTTCATACATGTATATAATACACTTCCCTTCCACTCTTCCTCCTAACTCATCCTAATCAAATTCCCAGTGTTGGATTTTAGAAGTAGTCTGTAATGCAGAAGTACTATTTTTGAAATGTATAAATCTCTACATTTGAAATCTAGGTGAAATACACGTTGCTTCCTTCGGTATTTTTACCTTTTCTTTTATGGACCTCTCTTGTTTCAAGACATCATCATTCCTTTTAGTGCCATTGTTTGGGTCTCGAGATTTTTCACACGCTGGAGTGTACATTTGTAAGATGAGCGTAGTAGTGAGGAGATACTTATTTATGTATAAAATGAGGGAAGAGCCATTGGGAGGTGCCAGTGGCTCATAAGAAGTAGCAGGTTAACTTCAGGAAAGAGTTTCTTTGGATGTTGAAGACCTAAAAATAGATTCCCTTAAAACTAGACACACAGGCTTCTTCATGATTAATATTTAATGCTGTTTATTTTGCATTGAAGACAATATCTCAGGGCTTCCATGGGCAATGGAGAAGCAAGCTGTATTTTAAAGGGGATTCCTCTTCACCCCACACATGCTCTTGTCCAGATCAATTCCTGCAAGTCTTCTAGCAACTTCATCATACTTGTAGCCTGTGATAATAAATGTTTTGAGAAAATCTTAAAGGAAGGACCTACCAGTGTGACAGAACAGAAGTCAGTTTTGCATTGTAATTTGACTCTGAACTACTTGTGACTGATCATTTATCCATTCTGAGTCAGAGTCTACAGTTTTAAAAGAGGAAGATTATGAAATCGGCCTCATATATTATGCTGAATTAATGTTATGTACCAAGTCTGTAGGAAAAAGAGTATATGTGCTCTTCTTTCCTATAGTCTTGGTACACACACACACACACACACACACACACACACACACACACACACACCTTAGCCTTTAATAGTATGAAATTAATGTAATGATAAGCAAAGGTCTGATAAAGGGAAATTGAGTATCCTCATTAAATATATCCGCTTCTCAAATATTTTGAACCATGCTCTCTACAAACCATGTGCTTTATAATTGTATATTATAAAGTAATTTAATCATGTGTGTGTCTTTGTAATGGATTGTGTGCCAGGTGTCTCTTAAACTGACTGCACAGAAAGTTATCTAGTGAAATATCTGAAAACATTTTTATTTCTGATGTGTCTAAATAGGGATTTGGAGAATTATTGGAGAAAGTACAACTAAATGGTGCTGACAGAAAGCTTTCCAATGGGGATAGCCACCACAGTTTGGGTCATCTTTGCTTTCTGGGAGAGCCAGTGTTGAAAAACATCAACTTTAATGTAGAGAAAGGAGAGATGCTGGCTATTACTGGATCTACTGGAGCGGGAAAGGTACTGTCTTTTTAAATGTTTTGAGAAAGTAGTACATGAGTACTGTATTTACCTAATTCCCATTTCCTTACCCCATTCCTAATACCCCTCCTCACTCCCATTCCAATTCATGACCTGAGTTTCAGTTATTATTATTATTATATATATTGTCCTGGATCAATTTTGTATTTATGTTTTAATGTTTTTAAATGATTTATTTTTATTTTATGTGCATTGATGTTTTGTCTGTGTGAGGGTGTTAGATCCCCTGGAAGTAAAGTTACAGGCAGTTTGTAAGCTGCCATGTGGGTGCTGGGAATTGAACCCAAGTCCTGTGGAAGAACAGCCAGGGCTCTTAAACACTGAGCCATCTCTCCAGCCACCACTTTGTGTTTCTTATATGCACATGTATTTAGAGTTGATCACTTGAGACTGGATGACCTATAAAAGAGCTCATTTTTAGAGAAAATTGATTCTCCCTCTCAGCAACTTTTGTTTGCCTGTAATCGTTCATCTAGGGCAGTGGTTATCAACCTGTGGGTCGCAACCCCTCAGAGGGTTATTAAAGGGTTGCAGCATTAGGAAGGTTGAGAACCACTGCTCTAAAGGATGGGATCTTGTGAGATTTCCCTCATCTACAGTCAACTGGTGATGTTATCATGTAGGACTTGTTTAGGTAACAATATTTTGGATATTTCATAGGTGTAGTGTCTCATGTCTAGAAGATACTTTCTAGAAGCAGACATTCCCATTTTCTGGCTCTTAGATCTTTCATCCCTGCTTCCACAATTTGTCCTGAGCCTTAAGTATAGAGGTTGCATTTCAGATATATCAATTGAGGCTGAAAACCCTTTGGTCAGTTATTTTCTGCATTTTGACTAGTTGTAGATCTCTGTAGTCGTTTCCATCCATTGCAAAAAGATGAGACTTGGCCGGGCGGTGGTGGCGCACGCCTTTAATCCCAGCACTTGGGAGGCAGAGCCAGGCGGATCTCTGTGAGTTCGAGGCCAGCCTGGTCTCCAAAGCGAGTTCCAGGAAAGGTGCAAAGCTACACAGAGAAACCCCGTCTCGAAAAACCAAAAAAAAAAAAAAAAAAAAAAAAAAAAATGATGAGACTTGGATAAGAGGTGTGAACTACACTTACCTGTGGGTCTAAGGGTAAGTACTTAGAACTCAGTTCGAAATCATATCATTTTACAGAAATGACAGTAGTAGGGTCTCCTCTAAGGGCTATGACCTCTCCAGCTGTGGGTAGTTAGTAAGGTTTGCAGAACTAGGTATGAATTCTCTCTTAATGAGTTTGTTGTAGGTCCAGTTAGGCAGCTGTTGGTTGTCCCCAGGATGCCACTGTTGTACACTGTTGGTGTTATATCTTGCTAGGACAGTCTTTTTTTTTTTTTTTTGTCTTTTTATTTCTCATTATTAAGAATTTAATTTAGAATTCATTTCTCCTTTCTATCTAGTTTGCAGTAAATGAATTATTTCAGAGAAATTCTTATATAGACATAGAAATATTTGAGTGTAGTGTTTTCTTAAACTATAAGTTGCTTCAGTAATAGTTTCCTCCAGGTTTTTGGTTTTTCCCATTATTTCTTGTGACTCTTTTTATATGTTTATATTTTGTATAGAATTTAACTTTGACATACATATAGAGGACTTTCAATAACTATTGATTAAAAAAACTATCCTTTTAAACATTTTTTACTATAGATTTATTTTCAGAGTTGGTCCAAGAAAATAATGGCTAAGATTTGACCTCTGTAGGCACAAGGTCTGATATATGCATACACACATATGTATATATGTATGTATATATCAGACTTTTGTTGAATTGACTCAGTTTTGCTTATTATATATTATGAAAATATGTCAAGTGGAAAAATATTCAAGAAACTGTGTAGCTAGAGTTTTCCTGCCTGGCCCGCAGTCAGGACAAATCTCTCTCACCTGCCAGTTCCACAGTCACTCAGACCCGACCAAGTAAACACAGAGACTTATATTGGTTACAAACTGTATGGCCGTGGCAGGCTTCTTGCTAACTGTTCTTACAGCTTAAATTAATCCATTTCTATTAATCTATACCTTGCCACGTGGCTTGTAGCTTACCAGTACTTTACATCCTCCTTGTCCTGATGGCGGCTGGCAGTGTCTCTCCCTCCAGCTTCCTGTTCTCTCAATTTTCCTCTCTGTTAGTCCCGCCTATACTTCCTGCCTGGCCACTGCCAATCAGTGATTTATTCATTGACCAATCAGCAACACATTTGACATACAGACCATCCCACAGCACCTCCCTTTTCTTTTCTTAAAAAGGAAGGTTTTAACCTTTACACATCTCCAAAGTCAGCTTGGTATATTTGGGAATTTGGGTGTAGCTTCTCTTACTACTTCCTGCTGGAGGGGGGCGCTGTATCTTCTGGGGAAACAAAGAAAATTTTAGGATCATGGAGTAGTCCGTGAGGCTGTATCATCTGAGCCAGTTGTCTTGAAACGGTTCTGGATGTTGAATCATCTGGGCCATGGTGTCATCGGAGACCTTTCAGGGGGTCTTGGCTGGTCAAACCTGATGTGTCTTAATCTGGAACAAATCCATAGCCTCTTGCTTTCTGTGGAAACAAAAGAGACTCTTTTCTAAAGCAACATATCCTTACATCCAAATTTTGAAGTCAAAGTATCTTTAAAATATACGTACTGGTTTAACTCAGCTTCCTTTACAATCAAACATCTCTCTGTAGTTAAGAATCCCAAAGACAACATAATCCAGACTCTCTGTGTAATAGTCATCTCAACATATCCTTACATCCAAATTTTGAAGTCAAAGTATCTTTAAAATATACATACTGGTTTAACTCAGCTTCCTTTACAATCAAACATCTCTCTGTAGTTAAGAATCCCAAAGACAACATAATCCAGACTCTCTGTGTAATAGTCATCTCTATGTGGCTTATTTTTTATATTAATTTTACTGTCTCTTTAAAGACTTTATTTTTTAAAACTATGTATTTGTTTCTATACTGTATATATCACCCTTTTTTGTCTCTTTTAAGCCTACGTATATTTTACACACATTTTAAACTATTACATCTGAATCTGTCTTATTGTGAATCTGTTGCTTTAAACTGCAGCAGCTGTGGCTGCTGGCTCTGCCCACCTCAGCTTCCCAACATGGCGGCTCTGGGAGCCATTGTGAGTCTATGCTTTTATCCAAGCAGCATGTAGCCCAGAAACCTTTTTTTTTTTTGTTTTGTGGTAGCAAAGTCTAAATCCATCATGTAACTTAATGTGCCACTTGCAGAGGCCTCATTCCCACCACAGGGCGTATGCTATGAACCCACAAGTAGCTCAAACCGGCAGCTGCCGCTCATTTGAGAGAGACAATTAGGAAGCTGTTTTTAGCTCCATTTTAGAATCTTTTTTTTTAGTTTTTAGGCGGAAACTCTTGCCCCACGTTGGGCGCCATTTGTAGCTAGAGTTTTCCTGCCTGGCCCGCAGTCAGGACAAATCTCTCTCACCTGCCAGTTCCACAGTCACTCAGACCCGACCAAGTAAACACAGAGACTTATATTGGTTACAAACTGTATGGCCGTGGCAGGCTTCTTGCTAACTGTTCTTACAGCTTAAATTAATCCATTTCTATTAATCTATACCTTGTCACGTGGCTTGTAGCTTACCAGTACTTTACATCTTCCTTGTCCTGATGGCGGCTGGCAGTGTCTCTCCCTCCAGCTTCCTGTTCTCTCAATTTTCCTCTCTGTTAGTCCCGCCTATACTTCCTGCCTGGCCACTGCCAATCAGTGATTTATTCATTGACCAATCAGCAACACATTTGACATACAGACCATCCCACAGCAAAACTGTTATTCTGTGGCTCTCCTACTCCCCACCCAGTCCCAAGAACAACCTATTATGCTTGTATAAATGTACAGCCTTTGGAGAGACAGCTCACAAAATCTAATCTACTAGAAGGGAAAACTGTCCCCAGATCTAATTTTACCACCAAGAGGCTTTAGCATGATGTTTCAAATATGATCTGACATGCAGATAATGATAGATATTTGTTCTTTAGTAATTAGATAGCACATTAAAGGACCAAAGGAATGGACTTTGAGGTGAGTACATGCTTCATGATGTTGGGCAACGAGTGCTTGCTGTGGAGACCTATAAAATAGATCCTTGTTCCAGTTAGAGTGCCACTTAGGTGTTTATTAATCCTTTAAATTCTATTCCGGGACATAGAGGAAGGAAGGGAGGAAAACCGAGGAGAGAAGGAAGGAGGGATGGGGCAGTGCTGTCCTAAAATAGAAATGAAAATAGGAGTTTTGTGTCTATTTTATATTTATATCTTAAACAGGGAAAGCTGTATTATGAGTTGTATCTGAGATTTTGGAAATGAAAATACCACAGAAAATTTCTAATTACTGTATATCTTTCTCTCCAATTGTTTTCCCATATGTGACGTGGGCCTTTTAAATAAAAGCTTGCTCCTTAGAATGTTATTTTTGCTTCACTTTCTGATATGGAATTGATAGCAATTTCAGTATTAAAAGAAAAATGATACCCCAGGAGTCTATGTAGCTGATGTTCTAGAAGACACAGATGACCTACACCAGACTACCTGCTTGGGAGAGGATTACTGTGTTACATAGAATTTTAAAAGTGAATTGTCCATGTACTTAAGATCATCACATGACATATGTGTAAAAATAGCTTTGGAATTATGAATTTGTTGAATGTAGCAGTAATCAACTCTCAGGCAAGTCCCAAGCTGCTGTGAAGACAGGAAGATCTGTGTCCACTTCTGCTCAGGAGTCTCACTTACAACTCAGTCAGGGAGACAGCTGCTTGGTAAAAATAGGAAGGGAAAACTTAATCATTTGCCTGGGAAAATTCTCATTAAGATGGAAGTATAATATCAATAAGCCTTTGTTTTATGATAGTTCTTTCAGTTTATTTCTTAGGTTGTCATAAATATCAAGAAAGTCTATCTGAATATGTTTTTTTTTCTTTCAGTCTAATCTCCGTATAAAAGAGGAAGATAGCACTGAATCTGTGTTAGTTTTTTGTGGTGAATAAACACACCCATACAGTTAGAGCATACAGGCAGCACCTAGGCCCGGAGCGCTCAGCAAATGTTCACTGTTACCGCAGCTCTCCTACCTGCAAACCTATCCGAGCAGACTTAAGGATGGTCTCACTCTTTCTGTGAACCTTGATCCTGAATGGAGCACTTTCACTCTCACTCTGCGTTGCCTTTGTCTCTTTCATTCCCTCTGTATTTTTTGTGCCTAGAAAACTCCCTGGATCACAAAGTACTGAAAACATCGTTAATCAAATGAGTTAATAGACTATTTAAACATTGGGAGACTTCAGATTAGACTAATTGGAGGTGAGCAAAAGCTAAGTAATTTGATCAAACAACTTAGCAATGATATTTATTTGTAGACATCACTCCTGATGATGATTTTGGGAGAACTGGAAGCTTCAGAGGGAAAAATTAAGCACAGTGGAAGAATTTCATTCTGCTCTCAATTTTCTTGGATTATGCCGGGTACTATTAAAGAAAATATCATCTTTGGTGTTTCCTATGACGAGTACAGATATAAGAGCATCGTTAAAGCTTGCCAACTACAGGAGGTAAGCACATTTATGAAAAATGCTGAGTGTATTAGCGACTTTTCTCTTTTTGTAACAAAATACTTTGACAGTGCAACTCGAGAAAGGAAGGGTTTGTTTTACCTTATGCTGTTCCAGGAGGGTACTGCCCATAATGACAGAGGAGTGGCAGGAACAGGAAGATGGCTGGTCACATTGTCTCCAGATTCAGGAAGCAAACAAGAACAGGAGGGTACTGCCCATAATGACAGAGGAGTGGCAGGAACAGGAAGATGGCTGGTCACATTGTCTCCAGATTCAGGAAGCAGACAAGAACAGGAACTGGGGTCTAGGCTATAAGTCTTCAGGGCTATAAATCTTCACGTCCCACTTCCTCCAGCAAAGCTCCACCTCTTAAAGGTTGCATAACCTTTGCCAGTGGTGCCACCAACTGGAGATGAGGTGTTCAAACACTTAAGTCCACTGGGGATATTTCACATTCAAATCACTACATTGAGTATGCTCATTAAATCTTAAGACTAACCGAATCACATGTTTAGTTCTCTGTTCATTTAATGTACATATATCAAGGATTCCTCTAGGAATAAGTAAATAAAAGTAAGTAATAAGTAAGGTATAGTAGGAGGGTCAATGAATATAACCCATGACTCCCGCTTGAAGCTTGAAAATTCATAAATAATAGTTTATTTTTTTTAATTATGTTTGGGTTTTGTAAAAATAAAAATTCCTTATGCACTGGACGTGGTACCTCATGCCTGCAGTCCCTATACTCAGGAGACTGAAACAAGATCATGAGGTGAATCTAATCCTGGCTGTATAATGAGTTCTAGGCCAGTCTGGGTCATACGGTAGTGATGATCATGCTAAAACAAGCAAGCCAAAACTCTTCATGAATTCAATAGTAGTATTTTGTGTACACTCTGAGACCACAGTGAAAAGAGAGTCTGTCCTATAAAGTATTGGGTTAACATTGAAAAAGATAGCCATGATTTTTCAAAAGTCCTTTTTCGTAACTGTGAGGTTGGCACATTCTGGGTTTGTTACCAGATCTGATTCTAGGTGAGCTTTTGTGTTCAGGAACTGTATGGAGTGATAGGTCTTGCCTGGCTTATTTATGGGATGGCAGGGTGGAGGGACTGGTAGTTTCTATCTAGATTTTAGTTTTGTCTTTGAATATGTATTTTCCCAAAGTAATGATTTTACAGGTGGTATTTGAGTCCCCAAAGTCAATCTACAGAATATATAAAACCCAAATGTAGTATATGTATATTACTGGTAGTAAATATAGCATATGTACATTACTGGTAGTAAATATAGCATATGTACATTACTGGTAATAAATATAGCATATGTACATTACTGGTAATAAACTTTGAGCTGTGAGTCTCTCATCCTTGGGACAAGTATTTGCAACACTCTGAACACTGGTCGGTCATGGGAATATTTAGTTGAAGAAGACTGTATATTTTAAAAGGTTCATAGTAGAATGCCCTTTATTAATAATGGAGGATTATATGAAATATAAATTATATATCAATAAAGCTGTTAAAAATACTAGAGGGAGAAGAAGCAAAACATATTGTTCTTTCTTCTGGTTGTATGACCATATTAAAGTTATTTTAAAATGTATGATTCAGTGTATTTTAGTATATTCACAGGGTTGTACGTGATGACCACTGTTTTAGCATCTCTAAAAAAAGAAACTCCATTACTCATTAAAAATCAAATTCTATTTTTTAATGTGTGTTCCAACTCTAAGCAACCAACAATCTATCTCCATAAATTCTCCTGTGTTTTACATTTTTCATAAAGGGAATCACTCACTAGGTCTTTCATATCTAATGAAAGTTAATTTTTTTATTTATTGAGAATTTCATACAAGTATCCAGTGTATTGTTCTCTAATTCACCCCAAACTATATGCCCTTTAACTTCTCCAATACCTCCTCCAACCACTTTGCCCAACCACATCTGTGCTCTTTTTGTAACTGTCTGAGTTCAATCAGTGCTGCTAGTGAATGGCCTTACCCCCTTGCATATACTAACAGCATTAAAGAAATTTTAAAGTAGAAGTAATGAGTCTTTACCTGGAAAACATCTACTAAGACATTCTGTGCTTTATACAGTATAACAGGAATGATAGAAGCAGCAATATGAATTTAGTTGAAAATGGAAAAAATGAATATTTTAGGACTAAAAAGAAGAAACAGAGACTCTCTGGGTCTGCCTAAGGAAGAGCAGCCTCCAGATGGAGAAAAGGGTAATATCCCTGATGAAGTAATTCTCTATAGAATTCTAGGGATCACAAGAAAAGCTTGTGACCTGAAGGGTTCTTTATTAGGAACATTAGAGCTTCAAAAAAGAAGCAGAGAGAAAGTCTGGATTTAAGCAGTAGGAAAATTGGGTCTGATTATTGAGAAGATTAAGTGAGACAGGTGCCCAAGAGAGCATTTGGCACAAAGCCCTTTCAGTGAACACTAAGTTATTTTTGCTTCTTTTGAAGTATAGAACAATACCACTACGGAGTAAAACAGGAGGAATACTTTGAGAGCCAGTGTTATTAGTAAGTGACCACAATAGAGATAAAGTGGATAAGGAAGAGAAGAACCATGAAACCAAACAATAATGAATATGAATTTTGATATTAACAAAACTGGCCATGGAAAAATTATAACAATACATTTTAAGGCTTTTGGCTTGCATGGCATAGTCAGTAAAAGTTTGGGTATCTATGGAAGAAATCAAACTATAGCAGGAGGAAAGGGATTATGTGCTTATACTTCCAGGTCTTCCACAGCTTCTCACTAACGGAATTTAGAGTAAGGAACCCAAGGCGGAAACCTGAAGCAGAAATCAGGAAGGAATGCAATTTTCTCTTTGTCTTGTTAACAGGTTTATACTAGCTTGGTTTCTTATACAACCTAGACTACCTGCCGTGAAGTGGCACCACCCACAGTGGGCTGGGCCCTCCTACATCAGTTAGCAGTCAAGAGAAGGTCCCACTGACATCCACAGACAAACTGGTCTGGGCAATCTCCCAGTTGAGATTTCTTTTTCCCCGATGATTCTAGGTTGTGTCAAATTGACCGTAAAAACTGACTATTCACTTTAGGAGAGGCATGGTGGTTACCAAATGAAAGCTCAATCATTCCTCACATCAAAGGATTTATAGGATAAATTTTGGGGAAACAAACTTAAGGTTCCACTTTCTGTGTGATATTGCAGTTGTTGGGTTTGAGTCGATGGTGGGCTTTGTGCCTACTTGAATAATCCAGGAAGCCCATCTCTAAGAGATGACGTTTTAAAGAATAAGTAAAAAAGATAACATTATAAAAGATTGAACAGAAATTCAGGGTATGAAACCACTTAGTGCAGGGAATTATAAGCATCTTGATAGAACCAGGGTAAAACTAAAGAGAGTGAATGAGCAGGAATGGAGTGGGGAGCCATCTCATGGATACCGGTCTCAAGAATTTTATCTTGGAGAACTTTAAGTACAAGAGTGCTATAAGAACTTTGAAGTTTATCCTTGTTGCTCTGTGATGATGGCAAGCAGAATTAAGGTGGATATCATATGAAGTTTAGTATGGAAGAAATAGCATGTATTGCGAAATTGTACAAAGCTGGGTCATAAAGTTATGAACTTGTCTATACTAAGTTTTTTAATCTCTGCAATATGAAGCTAATATTGCCTATTCTATAGCATTCATAGAGTCCTCTAGTACATAGAAAGTTCATTATAAATAAAACACTTCGTGCAAACTATCCATCTGCCTGCCTCCCTCCAATGCTAGAGGTTGAATTCAGGTCCTTGCTTTAGCTCTATCATTAGATATAATGATATTTGTTATACCTCCAAGCCCTCATGAATTCTTTTAACTGTTTTAACATGTCTCATTTAGTTTCTGAGTGGTTATCTATGTTATGTCTTTTTTAAAAAAATCTTTTATTTATTTTTGAGACTTATTTATTATGTCATTTCCCTTTCCCTTTTTTTTCTTCCGAACACCGCTTATGTACCCCTCCCACCTTGCTCTCATTCAAATTCATGGCCTCTTTTTCTTTAATTGTTGTTGCGTATATATGTAAAATAATATATATTCCTAAATATATACAACCTGTTCAGTCCACATCATATGCTGTTACTTGTAAGTATGTGTTCAGGGCTGACCATTTGTTGTTGGATAACCAATTGCTGCGCCCTTCCCTAGGAAGACTACCTTCAGCATTCCTTAGTTGCCTGGAGTCCTTTGTGGAGGGTTGAGGCTCCTGAACTTTTTCCCTTCTACATTAACATGTCCACTGGTGTCACTGCTATTCTTGCTTGTCCCTTTGATTTGCAAATTACCCTTCTTTTTCTGAGTTAAGTATTTTTTTTAATTTTTAAAGAATCCTTAAGTCATTGTTCCTTCTTGTCTATCCCATTGCTTTTTGCAGCTGAGTTAGAAGTTTTTAGCTACCTTGTGAAAGCAAAGGCACACAGGAGTTTTCTTAAATCACCTTGCTCTTTAAAATGGCAAGTGTAGTATTACAATGAGCTAATAAGTGTATGCTGTGCTGTTATATTGGTGTGAATGTTTCACATATGTTTTGGTTATTTTAACTACAGAGTGAAATGCTTGACATGTCAACTCTAAAAATGTTATTTTAATTTATTTTACCTAGTGCACCGATAGAATAGGAAATTCTTACTGGATGACTGTTTTGGGATTGGTTTGAGATAGCATGTTGTTTTTTTTTTTTTTTTTTTTTTTCATTTTTAGAGGGCTCTTAATTTTATTTGAGATGTAATAATTTTCATTGGTATTCTTCAGCTAAACATGACAGGAACTCATTAAACAAATTTGGATTATTTACTCATGTAAGACAACAATCCCAAGAGTCCTAAGGTTCTTAAAATGTAGAGTGATTGTCAGAGTATAAAATTTATATATCTTTTTTTTAGTTTTGACAATATTTATTAAATATATCAATTATATGCAATCAAATCTGTTGTGTGTAATTATCAAAACTCAAATTTGG